AATAATAATAATAATAATGCTGAGAATACTAAAAACAAAATGTAGCAAAAGGCTAACAAATGGTCAATCTGGCTGAAAATCTTTATTTCAAAATAAAACTTTTAAAAAAAAAATGTAGATTTTATGGGGCGCCTGGGTGGCTCGGTTGATTGAGCGGCAGACTCTTGGTTTCAGCTCGGGTCATGATCTCATGGGTGGTGAGATGGAGCCAGGCTCCATGCTCAGCGGGGAGTCTGCTTGACTCCTCTGCCCCTCCCCCCACTTGCTCTCTCTAAAATAAATAAATCTTAAAAAAATAACCTAGATTTTATATGATTATATTCAGAAGAAGAAATGAAGTTTCTACTAATTAACGAGTGTACAACAGTGGAAATATTTCACCGAGTTAGTAATATAGTACATGAAATTTGAAAAACCTTGTGACCATGTTCTTACTAATGACACTTCATTTCTCAGTTCCTATCACATGCCTTTGCTACATGAAATCCACAGCTGAGGTCTCTAACAAACTTTCAGTTTTTGAAGATTTTTATTTTTTTTATTTTTTTTTATTTGACAGAGAGAGACACAGCTAGAGAGGGAACATGAGCAGGGGGAGTGGGAGAGGGAGAAGCAGGCTTCCCGTGGAGCAGGGAGCCCGATGCAGGGCTCAATCCCAGGACTCTGGGATCATGACCTGAGCCGAAGGCAGATGCCCAACGATGAGCCACCCAGGCGCCCTATAATTTCAACTAATATGTAGCAATAGAAAAGTTATATATGCCTTTTCTAGTCCTCTGTATTTTCTCTGAGAATTTAGGTACCAAGGTAATAGCATTTTTGAATAAATTTCATGAGAGAAACAATATATGTATGGTAGATGATTGTTCAAAAGATGCCATCATATTCTTTTTTTAAATTCGAGTATAGTTAACATAAAGTGTTATATCAGTTATAGGTGTGCAATATAATGATTCAACAATTCGAGACATTACTCATCACAATAAGTATATTCTTAGTCCCCTTCACCTATTTCACCCATCCTCCCACCCACCTCCCGTCAGGAACCCCCAGTTTGTTCTCTATAGTTAAGAATCTGTTTCGTGGTTTATATTTTTTTTTCTTTGTTCCTTTGTTTTGTTTCTTAAATTCCACATATGAGTGAAATCATACAGTGTTTGTCTTTCTCTGACCGATTTATTTCACTTAGCACTATAACCTCTAGATCCATCCATGTTGTTGTAAATGGTAAGATTTCTTCTTTTTTTATGGCTGAGTAATATTCCTGTGTGTGTGTGTGTGTGTGTGTGTGTGTGTGTGTGTACACCACATCTTCTTTACCCATTCATCTGCGGATGGACACTTGGGTGTTTCTTCCATATCTTGGCTATTATAAACAGTGGCGCAATAAACATGGGGGTGCATGTATCTTTTTGAATTAGTGTCTTTGTTTTCTTTGGGTAAATACCTAGTAGTGGAATTGCTGAATCATATGGCAGTTCTATTTTTAGTTTTTTGAGGAACTGTTTTCCACAGTGGCTCCACCAGCTTGCATTCCCATCAACAATGCACGAGAGTCCCTTTTTCTCCACATCCTCACCAACACCTGTTATTTCCTATGTTTTTACGTTAGCCATTCTGAGAGGTGTGAGGTGATACCTCGTTGTTTTGATTTGCATGTCCCTGATGATTTGTGATGTTGAGCGTCTTTCCATGTGTCTGTTGGCCATCTGGATGTCTTCTTTGGAGAAATGCTCATTTTTTAATTGGATTGTTTGTTTTCTTGGTGTTGAATGGTATACATTCTTCTTTATATATCATTATATTTTTGAGTAAGACAGGTAAGGCACATGGATTCTATTTGATCTGTCCCCTTCAGGATTCCTCCACATGCTGGTAAATACTGGCTGACGGAGAGAACATACAGTGGGATTTATACCTGGCTCCTGGATCAGTGAGCATCTGCCAGAGCACCAGATAAACCAGCACTTGCCTGAGACGTGATCAGTACTAGACAGCCAGGCCCGGAGAAGGGCCAGAGGTCGAGCAGGACCTTCCACAGTGGGTCTCAAACGTTAGCGTGCAAAACACGACTCGGGATGTCTATTGAAAAGATAGATTTTCTCATACCAGAACGTTTTAGTACTCCCAGAGGAGCCTGGAAGCCTGCTTTTTAAAGAAATATCATAGGTAATTCTGATGTGGGTAGTATACAGACCTTGCTTTAAGAAAACCTGACCTAGAGGTATCCTGAAGTAATCACATTCTTTCCTAGACCCTTCCTAATTTTAAATTATTTGATCTGTATGAGTCAGCTTTGGCTGCTGTAACAATGGACCACAGACTGAGTGGCTTAAACAACAGAAATTTATTTTCTCACAGTTCTGGAGGCTGGGCGGTTGAGATCAAGGTGTCGGCAGAGCCACGCTCTCTCTGGAGGCTCTAAGGAAGTTCCTTCCCAGCAGGGTTGTTTTCTCCTGAGGCCTCTTTCTCTAGCTTGCAGATGGCCCCCCACTCCCTATGGCTTAACATGGTTGATGCTGTGTGTGCATGTGTCTGATGTCTGTCTCTTTCTGTGTATCTTCATCTCTTCTTACAAGGATACTCGTCACATTAGATGAGGGAACCACGCTCAGGACTCCCATTTTAACTTAATTGCCTCTGTAAAGGCCCTGTCTCCAAATGCAGTCCCATTCTGAGGTACTGAGGATTAGGGCTTCGATATATGAACTTTAGGGGGACACAGTTCAGCCATAACATCATCCTTCTGTTTACACTGCAGAATCTGCTATTTAAGTAGCTCCTTGTGGAAGGGATGTGGAAGCCCCAATTTTGATTATTTCAGCTGTTCTCTTGACTGGCTCCTATCTCATTAGACTTTTCTTGAAGTTAAGCAAACAAAGCAATACACCATATTCCAAGTGTAGATATGCCCTGGTCTTTTGTTTTGTTTTGGTTGGTTGCCCAGGGCGAATGAAGGGGCTTATCTTTTTAACTTTCTTGACCACTGTGGCACATTCAGTTTCAAGATAATTCAATATTGGGGCACCTGGGTGGCTCAGTCGGTTGAGCGGCCAACTCTTGATTTCTGCTTGGGTCGTGATCTCAGGGTCGTGGGTTTGAGCCCTTTGACAGGCTCCACGCTCAGCAGGGAAGTTGCTGGGGATTCTCTCTCTGCCCCTATCCCTGCTGGCTCTCTCTCTCTCTATTAATAAATAAATAAATCTTTTTTTAAAAAAAAAAACTTTTAGTAATCATTTTATATAAAATGTATGTTTATATAAAATTCAGTACCTACAATGGATAAGAATCTGCATTTGAGCTGACTTCAGGGAACAATTTCAGATGATGCTTAATCTATAGTATTTCAGAGTTCATCTTAGATACAAAATATATATCTATATAAACTTTTTTTGCCCTGCCACCTTTCAACCCACTTAGGTACCCTCCTGAGATTTATTTTGTTGTAGCTTATTTCCAAAACAGCCCAGGCAGACATGTATAAATGGTTTCAATGACTGTAACAAGTTTGAGAAGGCCAGTTCTTCTAGAGAGCTCTGAAGAAAGCAAGGACCT